TTGGTACGTATTTATGCTCCATAAAATATCCTCACAGCTAAACCTTTGCTAGTACTCTACAAAGAAACAAAATTAAAAAAAAGATAAAAAAAGAAAGAAAATTCTAACTTACTTTCTTAGGAATCACGGTTATATTTAGCATATATAATAACTCTTTAAACCTCTAAGTTACCATAGTGGATGAATTGCAGTCTCATGAAGGTTTACAGTGAATATACTCACAAAATTTAGTCATCTTGCTAAATTGAAAAGTCAATGTTTAATTAATTTATTTGATATATTTAAATAATCTAATTAAAGCTAGCATTTACTCAAGAAAAAAAAATGTTTTTATGTATAACTCAAAAGTAAATTTCTTAGAAAGTCCATTCATTATAGTTATACAAAACCAATTCCAACTTAGAAATTTAATCAATAGTTTTAAAAAGAATATGCTAACTCTTTATTTCAAACAATTTTTAAGCATCTTGATCAAATTATTTTTCAAGAACATATATATAAATATAACACTATACAAAAAATCTTTTTTTTTTATTTTTATACATTTCTTTACTTCTTTGTGATTCTGTTTTACTTTATCGGACTTTCTAAATAAGCATGTAACGAGTTTTAGGCTAATGGATCCCAAATCAATTGGGCTTAGGTCATTAAATATAAAAGTACTCCTCAGGCTTAATCATCCGATCAACTTAGACTTAGTATAACGCCCCTGGGTTCACACAAGGTTGTAGTCCAAGGTAAAACTAAAAATGTCAAACCTGTCATGCACCTATACTATGCAATGACAAGTTTCACCATCACATAAATATCCCTCTAGTGGAAACAAATAAGACAGTACATGTACAAGCAGATATAAAAGAGATGAAGACAAGAAATAGAACACAGAAATATTTGATAAACCTCTAATTAATCAGGTCTCAACAGATATAAAAGAAAATATGTCTAACAATCTAAAATAAATGATCCAAAATCTCAACTACAAGAGTCAACTAAAAAGTACATAAGCTCTCTTAGCTCTCAAAATGTAATACAAATCTAAACATTAACTAAAAATATAAACTAAACATCTGTGGAGCAGAACTACTAAACATATATGACAGCGACTATGATGAAAATTTGTCAACTTGTGGCTCTCCGAAACTCTGCTCCGCTGCCTGAAAAGAAGTAAAAACCATAGTGTCAGAGCGCTAGCAAGATCATCTCCATTCGTCCCCAAGGGAAGGGCTACTAGGTATGATGGAGGCTCTACTTATAAGTGCATAGTCTACCTAGTTCATGCATTTACCCTATACTAAACTGGGGTTAATACTTAGAAACTCACAACACAAGACTGGTACGTCGAGCGAAATAATCCAAACAAGAAAACCCTCATGTATATACCATATATCTCAAATTGTGAATCGCTAAATATTAACTCCAAAACTAAGAATAAATGAATACAAGAAAGATGATACAGAAAATACCACAACCCACATCTCCAAAAATGTCATATCAACCCTCATACTATCCTTAGTGGGTAAAACAGATATTGACACACTCGTGTATCTAAGTTGTGAAATACTTTCACAATGGATCATATCGATGATGTAAATATTCACCTACACTTAGGTTATTTATCGAATCGTCTTTCTCTAGAATACTTCAACTCATCGCACCCCCGTGCGGACCGGTAAATAGATATGTCAATTCATTACACTCCCGTGTGGACCAATAACTAGGTATGCTAATTCATCACACTCCTGTGCGGACCGGTAACTAAGTATAATAACTCATCGCATAACCATGCGGACTGACAGTTAGGTATATCAACATTTGCGCATCTTCGTGCGGACCGATAGATAGGTATTTCAACCTCTGTGCATCTTCGTGTGGACCGATAGATAGGTATTTTAACCTCTGCGCATCTTTGTGTGGACCGATAAATAGATATTTTAACCTCTGCGTACCTTCGTGCGGACCGATAGATAGGTATTTCAACCTCTGCGCATCTTTGTGTGGACCAATAGATAGGTATATCAACCTCTACGTATCTCTATGCGGACCGATAAAGAAGTGTAGTCCATCAGCGATCTCATTATAGGACCCGACTAAAGCATTCGGAGTACAGTCCATCTGCGGTCTCATTGTGGGACCTGACTAACCACACCCAACCGATCATAATTATAATATATATAATAATAGTCGTTACTCTTAACGATTGTTACCTATTTGGATACCCCAAGCAATGTAATCATGTGTACTCAATCCCCGTACGTGTACTCTTTGAACTATGCGTGAATATCAGCTCACGTCTTGCACAAAAATGCTCACCAAATGTGTAAAACCCCAAAAATTTGAATACTTTATGATAAATAATAATAAATATGTTATACATTTATAAATAATATATTATGATGTTTGAGTATGCTAGGAATTGATTTGAGATCAATTCAATGTATATATGTATATATATAAGAGCAAATGCACATTTCATGCTCGATGTATAAATCTGGGAATCTATGACTAGCTAAGAGTTTATGTGTTTTACATATCATTTCAGTTGGAATTTGGAAAAACTCATAAGACAAAAGTTGTAGTTCTCTTCAACAGCTTTCCAACGAATCTTTAATCACCTCATTCTGAGGTCGTATCAGAAAGTTATGACTATTTTACCAAACCTCAATCTGTGTGCAGACTATCAGACGGTCGACCGCAGTGGGCTCGGCGGTCGACCGCAGGGCGTGCAGACGCCAGTTTCAGTTCTGTTTCGGGTTCATTTTGTTTATATCAAACCCGGTTGTTATCCTAGGTATATATACTCGTTTTGAAGCTCTTAGAACCCTCTTTTGAACCCTAATAGCCTCAGCCCCCCTTCTTTCTCTCCTCTCAAACCCTAGCTTCGTTTTTGGTGATTTTTGAGGAGTTCGAAGGATTTGCGACGGATTTTTGTGTGGATCAGCAAAGGGGATCATTCTCTTGTGAATCCAGGAGCTTTGTTCACCTCAGAGGCGAGTAACATCTCGCCCAATCTCTCACCCATATTTTTACAAGCTTTTCTAACGATTTTAATGAGTTTTCTTGAGCCTAAATCACTACTTTGCGTATATAGATAGATCTTTATGATATAAGATGTGAAAACCAAGTATTTTCAGTTTTCAAATACCCACCAATGATTTTGGTTAAAGAGATCTAAATCTAAATTTTTTTTATTAAGAGTTAAAATTTCGATTTACTGTTTTATAACTTTTAAATCATGCGTATATACGTTCACGAATCTTAGTGATGATTTTGTTTACATGCTAGATGTTATTATATGATGATTCATATGTATTAGAATGTGTAATATATTGTTTGGAAGCATGGGTGTATTGTTTGGATCGATTTCGAAGCAGAACAGAAACCTGGAAAAGCTTCTGTCCGTTTCGCGGTCGACCGCATGTGACGCGGCGGTCGACCGCTGGGCGTTCTGTCGAGCAGAATGTCTCTGCCCTATGCGCAGTCGACCGGAGTGGTCTCTGCGGCCGACCGCCGCACTGTTTGTGTATGTATTTGTTTTGGTTGTGTATTTTATACGTCCGAGGGGTCGCCTCGATTATCTGACACTATATTGCAATGATAGTGACTTGTCTATACATGTGAGTTGACACTTTTGACACAAGTTTAGACCCGCACATCGAGACACGTGCGAGTTTAGGA